TCCTTCGTAAACTCACCGGTGTACTTAGACCGGTGGGCTTCAAAGCCGGGGCTTTAACGTCGTTATCTGGGGCAAAAACCATGCCCAAACATTCCCTCGGCTCAACCGCCAGGCAGCCCGTCCATGCTACCGCACTCGCTATCGGGGGCAGGCATCAAGGTCCCCAGCCCCCCCGTGAAACTCAACCGCACGGTAAAACCAGATAATAGGACGAGACCCGCCTTTGACCTCCTTTCGCGAACGCGAAGGAGCCAGGCTTGTGTCGCGATGTGACGACGAGCGCCGCTCTCTAATGACCGACCGTGCCGACAGCACAAGCACACAACCCGATTTGGGGTCGCGTAAACATAATTAACCCATTGATTTCCCTCGATTTTGTAACCGCTGGAGTCACAAAATATCGGCGCGCTATCACGTTTACTGTGTCATCACGCGAATGTTAAAACGTTAAATGTGGAATTTGGGCCGACTTCGTGCAACTGGTGCCGTAATTGGGCAATTTATAACGACGTGACACTGAGAGGCAGCTACATCTGTGACATTTTAGTTCAATATGTCCTCGTTACACTGCAAAGTTTGCCTGGATCTGATGATTGCATTATCTGGTCATGAACACTTATCGAACTGATATTAAAACACAACAATAAAACCGAAGCAAAGGCTTGGATGATGATCATGTTGGCTGATGAGCAGTTCGGGTTTTTTGCCCTTTTGATTTACCAGTATCTAAAACAACACTTACATTTTGTCGAGAGAAAAAAACGCTGCAACATTTCCATTTTTATAAATTACTCAAAAGAGCCCACAATCTGTTTTTAAGGCCAAGCCAAAGCGACGCATACAAAAGAAAAAGTATAATTCTGATCATGAGTCAATTAATATTTCATGCCTTTAGTTAAATGCATGCAGCAAATAAATAAGCGGAAACGGTCCTTAAATAATGGATGCCGCCAAAGAGGTATTCCAACCACCGTTCCCGAGATGCCGGAGACCCTTAATAATACATGGAAATGGCAGGGAATCAACTCACCTCTTGTCCAGGACCTTCTGGAAGTCACGGCGGAAAACTTTGCCGCGGCAAGAGGCCTGCAGCTTGGTGATGAAGCGGCAGATGCAGTCGTCGCGGATGTCTTCCAGTTTGCCGAGAACGCCGGCCCGGAAAAACACCTGCACAAGGGATGCAAATGGCTCAAGTGCGATTACCCCCTGAAGAGAAAATTTCTCTTTGAATAGAAATATATAATTATGGAACAAAACTGAAACGTGCAACTACAAAAAAGCAAAAACGTGGAAATTACGTTGAAGGACAGAACGAGGAACACAGGGATGAGAGAACATGGGTCGGTACATGACTATTGTTTAAACTGTTGGGAAAAGTAAGTGGGATTGGGGAAGGGCACTTCGCTGGATAGGATGGATGATGGCCGATGGTCAAGAATAATTAAACGTGCCGAGGAAATGGAGTGATGAAATCAGACTTGAATCTTTCGTGACTGCAGGAATACATATTCTATGGGTCTTTCGGTAAAGCCACGTAGATAGAAAAGTAATAAAAAATATCACGACGTTTCGATCGCAACACGAGCAATCGTCTTCATGAAATCAGCTTTGGGTACAAGTGGACTTTTACATCGTGGGATCTTCAGAGAGGGTGACGGCTTCGGGAGTCCTTCATACAGCAATGGTTTGATCATGTATGATGATGATAATGAAATGAAGTACCAATGTGACTTCATAAACTATGCTGTTTGTGTGGGTTCCCCATTTTAAACAAATCACTATGAATAAATACGTCACTAGCCTATTATGCAATAATAATCACAACGCCACATAAATAAATAAATACATGCAAATGTATATTCACTTTCACCACGGCAAAAACATTCGTATGATATTTGTTGATTTTACTCCACGCAAAATCAACAAATATTAATCTTTCAATGGAATATTATTTTGTTCAAGGGCAACGGTGGCGCTGAAAGCACATGCACGAATCGGTCCCCCGTTCCTGCTTGCAACGCTTTGCATCTCTCTCTCACCTTTGTGAAGCCAATCCTATACTCATCCTCCACGAGATATGTGGATTTCAAAACCTTCTCTGTGATGGCCTTAGGATCAGTCTCCGTCTTTCCAGCAACTGGGTTAATGATTGAGTAACTAAGAGATAAAGAAAACGCACGGTGACATTATTCCTTTAAAAAAAACACGTTTTTTTTAAAAAAAATCGAAATGTGTCATGAATCTCGAACTACATAAACACTTTTTGACAGAAAATCTACCAACTACACATTGCGATACAGCATATACACAGACGTGTTTTTATTTCTGTAAAGTATACACACACATGTAAACATATCAACATTTTTTTGATAACTTGGTAATAAATTTCTCTCTTTAAACATAGCAATCATGCGTTGAGTATATATCATTGTATAGGTAGTAATGCCGCGTAAATACGACAACATCATGCGCAAAGCATCCAACCCTGTTCGATCTCGGAAGCTTAGCAGATGTTGAGCCTGGATAGTGCTTGGACGGGTCGCCAGCATGCGTATAACACACATGGGCAGTAGAGGGCAGTGAAGCAAAATCCACTGCTGTTCTGTACCCCCTCCCACCCTCCTTGACCATCCCGTACTGACCAGCGTGGTGAAGCATGGACACGAATCCCCCATGGCATGGAGAGCATGGGGAGGCCGTCCATACAGCGGCGGATTGACAAAACAGGATGTGCATGTGGAATGATAGCACCCAGGGACAGAGCCTCGGATACATCTAGAGTAACTTTGCTGTTACTTCTTAAACAAAATATTTTGACAGCCGCTGATATAAATTGACTTCAGGTGTGCGCCGTATTTGGAGGATCTTGACTCGCTCAGCTTTCGAGACGGGCGCATGACTCAACTCATCATGCCTACAGAGTCAATACAATAAGTGCAGGTATTGTTGTAGTTTGGGATAAGTTAACAGATGCCACGCTATGAAAAAGCTTGCCCCCCAGGCAAGGAAATTTGGATTTTGTGACTCACTCAGGGCCACTAACAAATACGGATTTGCATTTAAGCTTAGGAATTTGCATTTGTAATGCACTCAAATGTCTCACCAACTCAATGCGCTTTATCACATCTGATCTCGACCATGCCCTACTGCAGTATGGCCAAGGAGACCCCGAACGGCAGATCTCCCTATGTGACTCAAGATGGCCTTGCAAATGGGCCTTGGTTTAGCAGTGGGGGGCATTGTTACTATGCTGTTTTTTCCACATTTAAGTAATATTCGAATCTAGTTTAATATTCAGTAATTTTGGTAATTTTGCCAAGTTGAACTATGACACTGGCACACATAGCCTACTAAAAAAAAAAAATAGAACGTCATGAGGTCGTTGACGTTCACCACGAAGCAGAATGCAAGTATTCAAGTTTAATTACTCCACTGTGTTACCCAGGGTGGCCGCTGGGCTCCAACAGCAACGATGCAACAAGTGGCGAACGTGCTTTCACGTCTCGGCCATCTCCCCGCCCCTGAGCAGATGCGCGCACCTTCCGACGTCTCTTTGATCACGGAGCAGAGGTCGCAAACGGATTTTGATTCCTTACCCGTACACGTACCCGGCCGCACCAGGGTCGCAAATGGGTACCAGTACCTGGCCGGGTACGGGTACCCGTTCCCTACCCGTACCCTACCTGAAATGAGTGACAAACGGTTACTCACCAGTGACTCACGGCCTACCCGTACCCGTATCCGGCCGCACCAGGGTCGCAAATGGGTACCCGTACCCGTACCTGGCCGGGTACGGGTAGCCGGGTATTGGGTAGGGTACGGGTATCGGGTACCCGGTTGCGACCTCTGTCACGGAGGCAATTGTGATTTGCTGGCAGCAACGGGATGGGTGGTCAGGCTTACCGCTGCACAAACTCGGGGTACAGAGTTCTGTTGGGGAAGCCTTTGCGACAGATACGGATGCCCTCCAGCACGCCGTTGCAGGCCAGCTGGTGCAGGATGAGGTGAGCGTCCACCATGCCTGCGTGAAGGTCAGGCCAGAGGCCGTTAGATCACACAGCAGCAAGAACACAGAGGCGACGGGGCAACTGTGTGGGCCGCACGTCGCGTTCACGCAAACCTCCGCGCAAAAAAAGAATGTGACTTCAAGGAATGCAGCCGCCTGTCTCTGCAGGACGGCATTAGGATTTCGACGAATCGTACTTTGCTAGAATGGAAATTCTAATTGCCCACAAGCCTCAAATTATGTGATGGACGTCTTAAGCCAAGCTCAATTCCATGTCTATGGTGTTAAAAGAAATCTGGAAACGTTGAGATATTTCCGTGGCTGAAAACAGAGATCTGCTTGTGTGTTATACTCGTATGTACAGTATGTATGCACTTAAAGTGTGTGGTTAAACTGATTTCAATTCCAAATTGGAATTTAAGATTTTTTTATCGGCTTATTTTGCTCCTAGTCGTTGCGTTTAGTTGCATCATTTTACAGATAGTGTTTATTTTTAGGAAATAAAAATTGCCAATTTGTGCAAAAGCAATATCGCTCTTGGTTTACAACTGCTGCAGTGTTGCTTGATGGTTACAGCCTCTGACATCTGGTGTGCCCCGAACATTTTACACATGTGAATGGCAGGATGACATTAACTGCCAACTTCTAGATTCATTGCTTATTCCAGGTTTTTTTTTATTGACCTTCCATTCACTTGTTATACGGTGAGAATAATTCACTCGCAATGACTTGAAAATAAAGAACATTTGCATAAATCATGATGCATTTCAGCACTTAAGAATAATTGTTGTTGTTTTCATGTAACCTTGAAAAACTGAATGTCCCAAGATCTGGACGGGTCTGGGGTGGCTAAAAAGGCCCCTCCCTCCCTCCCCTCCCTCCCCCCCTCACTCCCCCCCTTCCTACCCTACCCTCCCCTCCCCTACCTCCCTCCACTCCCTCCCCTCCCTCCCCTCCCTCCCAAGGACCAGCTTCCTTCAGCTGCGTCACTGGCCCGGATTCCGACTCTACACGAAGATTCCGCTGTCTTGCCACTGCTATTTGCCTACCGGCCAGTGGAGTTAACGCAATCCATTGAAGAGCTGGAGCATCATGCACGATAGGCAAATGCAGATCGTATCGTTTTCGATCCGCTTCACATTTGTTTGCAGCTTGTTTACGTTGATATGTTGAACTTTTTTCGCACCGTACGTGCCAACCTTGCTGACTGTGTCGTGTACTCGCCACCACCCGCCCCTGGGTTTTTGTATACCCCCACCCCACCCTCCCTCTTTAAACAAGGTCACGCCACAGGGTTGGTCAATACTTGTTCAGGAGCGTTGGGTATTTTAACGAGAATGTTTGCATGTGGTAAAAAAAACAGCGCACGGTAAAAAAAAAGCCTACGGATGACGGTTAACTTAGGTTAAGTGTATTTTGTTGAACCAGTTGAGAAATCAAGAGTTCAGGATGAGTCTCGTTTGCAAGAGTGAGCTCGTGCATGAGTCTGCCAGTACGTGGCAATAGTCGCTAAGTAGAATCCCAATCGAGTAAATTTGCAGGTAATTTTCGAATATGGGAAATTATGACCCTGACGTCGGCACACATTAATTATTATGATTACACTTGCAGTATTAATCAGGGCGGCCGCTGGATTCGAACCGTTAACTGCAAACGGCCAACGTGCTGGGCCGTCTCGCCAGGTATGTTGAATATTTGGTTGCCGATTTAAATTTCCACGTGACAAGCCACTTCGTTGAGCTGTCATTTGTGGCCAGGTCGCTTCTGAAAAAAGAGCTACGTAGCTCAGTGGGCCTTACCTGGTTATGTGAGTAACATATTTGCTGTCCTGGCTTTTCGTAGACCTACCAATCTGTGATCACGTCACGCGATCCCTTCTGCATGATCTACCAACAGTGCCTCAAAAAGTGCCGGGTAAAATTATACATGTACTGCCCTGTCGAGCAAGGAAGGTGTCAGGAAAGATTTCAACTTGAATAGAAATGAATTCAAAAGCACTTTTGGTGTTTGTGCCATTCTTTATAGTGCAAGGCTATATAAAAGAAGGCGCCACGTGTTATAGACAATCATAGTCTGCAGTCGTTTTACACAAGACGGCCAACGTTGCTGTGCGCTTGCCTTTACTCAACTGTAATTTGAAAGTAATTTTCAAAATTGAACGAAATAAAAAAAAATTGGCCGCCACACACGGCTTACAACCTCTTCTCCAGAGCAATACAAAAGTATACAGAAGACAAAGTTTCAGGTAAGGCTCTTCTTCAAAGTGGAAGGACAGTTTTCAAAACATCTCCTTATATATATATTTTGTTTTACTATGATCTCAGTCATCCACTGTGAAGCAGAAGGCGAAAATATGTTTTGGTCAATGCACGCACAGTCTTCAACGGGACGGCCACGTGGGCTTGAACCGCAAACCTCTGCGGTTCACTCGGCCAGGTCAATGCCCCACTGACCCCAGGCGGATAAACGCCAGGGTCTCGCCACTGCAGCCCAGCGCATAGGAAGGCTATCCCGTGCACACAGGGAACGATTATTGTACCACTGTAGTTTTATTTCATTCGTTAAAAGCAGAATAATGGAGAAGCATCTTTTTCCCACATCGGTAGCAGTATGACGGACGATGATTTGAAAAATATAGTAATTCAGACATCCACCCATAGGTGTTCCGAGAAAGTAATCACAACGGACCAATGGCCCCTTGAAACGGTATTGCCTGCTCTCCAGGTCAGGTCACGCTTTTTGAAATACAAAAAAAAAACACGTGCAACATGGAAATGTTGCTTTTTTTGCTTACTTTTAGTTCGTTGCTCATCCTCGTTTTACATTTGGTTTTGAGTTACAAGCAGAGTGACGAACACACTTCAATAATTATGCACAATTATTGTGTTGGGTCAGATCACATGAGGATGCTGGTCATGACGACCGGCGGAACGTGGTACCCAATTGTAAAATGTGCATGGATTCCTCTCCAACAACAGCGGTGGTGCTTCCGAAGCGGTGATACATTGCTTTGCCTTTTTTTTTCGATTTAAAGCTTTCGTGACTGCAGGGATTCATCTTCTTGGTTCTTTCGGTAAAGTCACGTAGAAAATAAAACATAATAAAAGAATTCTCACGACGTTTCGGCCACAACGCAAGCAGCCGTCCTTCACCTGAGGACGGTTGCTTGCGTTGTGGCCGAAACGTCGTGAGAATTATTTTATAATGTTTTATTTTTATTATTTTATTATTTCCCTTCTACGTGACTTTACCGAAAGAACCAAGAAGATGAATCGCTTTGTCTGTTTATCGCCTGACAGCGTTGTTATTAATCGGCTGTCTTTGGACGGAGGAGGGTACAGGACACACATTCTCCTTACCGTGCTCTGGCCCCAAGAAATGTATTCCGAATCATAATATTAATCACGAAAGCCTGCACGCATTACACTTCAATAAATCAGCGGTACTTTATTATCAATGAGACTTAGCTCACCTGATTTCTTGAACTCATTGGGGACTATGCAGCGGACAAAGTGAGGAGAGGTGCTGTGAAGAGTCGCCATGAGCTTGTTCAGCTGCTCCTGGATTGCAGAACGCAGCAGTGGGAAACACAAATTGTCTCTACAGAGAGCACACCGCGTGTGATATATCATTAAAGCAGATTCTTACTGAATGCATCGTAACCGCGATTGTGTTGCTAAGATCTGTTCTGTATAACGTCTGTACCCGTCGCAGGACGCCTGTGAAATAGGGCTTAACAACTCATTGGGCCCTTACTGCTGAAATAAATAAAATCGATCTGCTCTCTGTCTTCGAGATTGAATATGAAAGATGAAAATCACAGTGGTGAAAAAGCGTGCAAGTTGTGCCGATTATCCAGTTGGATTGCCAAAAAACAAGTCCACGCTTTTAAGAAGGAAAACATATATATATGAAAATAGGCAAACATTTTGGGCAATGGCTCCTTTCCAAGGCAATACAAATTATATTAAAGGCAAAACATTTCGAAAAAGGCTCTTTTGTGCTTGTGCAGCACACACTTAGACAAAAGCTGGATTATATAAAGGAAGGTGAACTCACTCTATAAAACACTGATACGGTCTGGAAGGCCGATCCTTTCTTCTGCTTTTGCTTGGCGCCGGCTGGGGGGAAGTAAAAATAGATGCCACAAGATAAAGGAACGACGCGTCGCTTTCACAGCGATGACTCCGCTCTTGTGCCAGTTGCGCCTGTGCATTGTGGTTTTGACAAAACAAACGCGTAACAACAAAGCCCAGTTACATATTCTAAATCATTAATTAACCATCACGAGCTTAAATATACGCTGCCAAGCCTGGTGGTGCCCATTCAGACGCTGTCTTTCCGACAGACCTGTTCTTCACCCGAGGACGGCTGCTTGCGTTGTGGCCGAAACGTCGTGAGAATAATTTTATTATGTTTTATTTTTATTATTTTATTATTTCCCTTCTACGTGACTTTACCGAAAGAACCAAGAAGATGAATCCCTGCAGTCACGAAAGCTTTAAATCGAAATTCATCACGAGGTATTTTCAGAACAGAACAGTGACGTACACAGTCATTATTTGAAAAGTCACTCGCTTACTGTTCAATGGCGCAACCGTGTATGTGCTATTTGTGGTTGTGATTATTAAGTGCCACTGTTGCTTTATTATCTTATCAATGTTGATGTAATGTTAAAAATGCACCACGTTAGCTGATTTTTACCACAATTAGTAACGGAAACAAGGGGTAGATTTACGCCAAAAATTGCGTAAATAGACACATTCACAATCATAAACAACGATCTCAATCACTTCATCATGCCACTGCTGGATGAAGGCCTCCGCATGCCGTGTTGGGCTTGGAGGTCATTTGGCCGTTCTTCATCACGCTGGTCAGTGTGGATTGGTGGAGGGCATGGGTAGGGAGGTCAAGGACTGGTTAAGATATCACTCACCACCGATGTTAGCTCTGGCTGGGAATGAAACAAAAAAAAACTAAAATAAAAACTAAAATTTTTTTTATTTTACCCGGAAAGGCCCTATGAGCTATGTAGCTCTTTTTCAGAAGCGACCTGGCCACAAACGATAGCCCAACGAAGTGGCTTATCACGTGGAAATGTATAGCAGCCAAATACTATGAATGCGTGACGTTGATTCTAAATGTAGAGGGAAAAACCGGAGGGCCCGGAGAAAAATCTACCCCACCACGTAACTGTGGCACCATTATGTAATCAAATCATTACAATTGATTACGTATCAATTATAATTGATATGTGATGGGCGACGTTCTGGGCAATGGCCCCCCTTCATAGCACATTTGTGCCTGAAGAAGCGTCTGAAATGTCGCTTACTGTACTTATGCATACTTTAATGTAGCCTCTAACAGGTTGCTGGGGCAAGTGCGGTTAGTAGCGAGCAGAGACGCAGACATAGCTCCCCCGTGTAGCCTCTAACAGGTTGCTGGGGCAAGTGTGGTTAGTAGCGAGCAGAGACGAAGACAAAGCTCCCCTATGTAGCCTCTGTCAGACTGATGGGGCAAGTGCAGTTAGTAGCGAGCAGAGACGCAGACAAAGCTCCCCCGTGTAGCCTCTGTCAGACTGCTGGAGCAAGTGCGGCTAGTAGCGAGCAAGGACACAGACAGAGCTCCCCTGTGTAGCCTCGAACAAACTGCGGGGCAAGTGCGGTTAGTAGCGAGCAGAGACGCAGACAAAGCTCACTCCTGGGGCAAGTGGCCCTGGGAGTGTGGTGGCTGACGGGACTGCACCACACAGCGCCCCATCCTTGATTGGCGAGCGAGAGGTTCCTGCCAAAACGACTTTGGCGTGCACTCGGGCATACGAACAGCTGTCAACCCATACGGGTTATTATTGTACAGGGAAATTGAGTTTTCAGGTCCATACGGCATGCAGCCGTTGCAATACGGGCAACAACATGTTTTGTGTCTGTTTGTGTTTCTCCCTTGTGATGGGACTTTGTAGGATGAACGTTGAGATGCACAAGGTGGCATGGAGGTGACCAATAATGTCCGAATTGGTCTGTAATAAGGTAGGGCACTGACACAAGGGGTTGCGTTTGCCTCGCGGCACCTCGTTGCGGGCATCACCTGCTGCCTCCTCCTCCTTGAAGAGCACTGACAGAAGGGGCATGCTGGAGTTCTGGAAGAGGCTCACCACCGTCTCATTGAGCGGGTCCTTGTTCTTCTCAAGCCACCCCTGCGTGTTGTAGCCCACCTGGGAGACGACGCAGTTGCATGTGTTTATATGCTAAATCGGTTCGTCCCCAATTTTCAAGAGAAGTGCATTTCTCCCGACCCCCCCTCCCCAAAGACAAAAATCCCCCCGTATAGTCTTAACAGACTGTTGGGGCAAGTGCTGTTAGCGAGCACCTATGAAGGCCGGAACAGAACACGAGGGGTGGGTGGCCAGCACCACGCCCGACCGCCTTTGCTGAGGTGATCCATGAGTTGGTGCCCTTCTTCAAGTTGTTCTTGACGAAGGGACATCCTTGAAGCGCTTTCTCTGCCCTCCCCGACGATCCGTTGTAAGGAGATAGTCACAGAATTTAGGAAATCTCGTCAAGTAATCGGAGTTAAACACTAGGGGGCAGCACTTTCATGCACGCTTTGGCACAGAGTCATGTTTGTCGCATTGACAGTCAAGACGGTATTTTATTCATTCTCATCGCCAGAAATTTGGCCAAATGGAAGTGCAGCACACAAATGTCACGCTGCGTCCTTTTTCGTGTTTTTTTTTTAATTCTCATGCAGGCATTTTGGTAGCTAGCCTGAGGCAACCGACTCATGATTAGACTCGATAGCCCGGTTCAATCACGACCAGATTCAAGCGCGGGCTCTCGGCACCGCCGTCTCTGCGCTCCGGACCCCTGAGCTAACCTGGCGACCTCCCAACAACGCGGGGTAATTGAATTAACCACTAAATTTACACAGCGGCACAATTGCAAAGCGCAACGGGTGACGGTGTGACAGAGTGACCCTGCGGAGCCCTATAGAAAGTTAACAAGACCAGCCCCTTGTGAAATTTAACAGCACGCTATAAAGCTTAGCCCCCACGCAATAACATTTGATGTTAGAAAACTTGAAGTGCCGTTGCCAGCGAAGCTGGGTGACTCAAGAGTGAAGGTCATTAGCTGATCGATCGGACGGATGGATGCATCACGAACATGACATCAGCTTTCTTCATTCACCCACGACCACTAAACCCCGTCCATTAAATCTCTTTTGTCAAAATTCCCACGTCGGCCTTCGCGGACAAAGCCAATTTGACAGCGGCTGCCCGATGGTGACTGTAACCTGAGCCATCACGCGCTCAGCTTATGCACGACTCGTGTGCACGCTTTGTCGGGATGCCTTTTTACCGTGCCGGCGTAGTGGACGAGTTCGAAGGTGGCCTCTTGCCCAGCCTTCTTGCCCGCCTTGGGCTTCTGGAATGGCGCAGACTTGCCCAGGTGGTTGTCGTACATGGCCGCCTTGAAGGTGGCGTCCGTGGCCTTGGGGAAGACGCACTGCTCCTCCAGGATGGAGAAGATGCCCATCGGCTGCACAGGGGAGAAGTACGTTAGAAATAGAAATTACTGGAAAAAAAAACGAACCGCACGTTAAAGGTGGGCTGGGGTGGCAGTGTCGCGGTTAGCGGTTAGCGCTACACTGCCGCTGGGTTCGTTAGCGCCGTGAAGCGGTTAGCGCGACACTACGTGATGAACCCCGTGACCCAAGTTCGAGTCTCGCTCACGGCCAACAACGGTGACAATTATTTGAACCGGTCCTGGACCTCCCCGAGGTCGACTTTTAGCGTTAAGTGAGTGCTAACCTCCGATTTGCACGGTTGGCTACGTATGATGCGGAAGAAGTTCAACATAAATGCAACCAACGGCATTGGGGAGACAAAGGCGACCAGGTGTGGTGTTCACCACCCACCCTTTCGTGTGCCGTGCCCGCCTTCATAGGTGCTCGTTAACAGCACTTGCCACAACCGTCTGCTACAGGCTATACGGGGGATCTTTGTCTTTGGAGGCAATCTCAATTGGCCATGATGAATGTGGGCAGCCTCGTTGTTGTGAATTTTATGTGCATTGGTAATTGCTTTGGTTTAATTGGGATTCAGGAAGAGCTTCGCATCAAGATGTATTTATGAGCGCTGCCTCTGCCGCTCAGCATGGAAATTCATACTGCTCAGGCCGCGTTCATTACTGGGCCTGTTCGTAACTCTGCGAAACAGCCCAGAACTTGTTTTTCCAATCAACAGCAATAACAAACACAATAAACGCACACCGCACAACATGCATCTGGCCATGGCGCGCATTGGAATGCTGAAATGCCAGGGACATTTTCCCATACAGCCATTTGTAAAGAAGCGAATCTCAGGATTGGATACACGTTGCATGCTTATGGCACGCTTATGGCACTATACACACACACACAAGTAAAGTGTAAGGCAAATTGAAATTTGGACATGAAACCTTCTCCAGGAGGTCAATGCAGGCAGCGAGATCGAGGCCGAAGTCGATGAAGACCCAGTCGATGCCCTCCTTCTTGTACTCCTCCTGCTCCAGCACGAACATGTGGTGGTTGAAGAACTGCTGCAGCTTCTCGTTGGTGAAGTTGATGCACAGCTGCTCGAAGCTGTTGAACTTCACGCAGGCACGTTGGCGACACAACCATAATCATCGTCATCATCGTCGTCGTCATCACAAACGAAGTCATCGTCGCTATCAATATCGGCATCGTCACTCACTCACGTTTAGAACCCATTAGGATTTTCCAGTTTCAACCTTTGAGCCATATAACACTAAGTACTGTGCTCCCACTTTCTGCAGGTGCCATTGTTCTGAGTTGCGTGTGCGCGTGATTGAATCGTGGCAGCGTGTGTGCACTCGCGATTCTAAAGCGACAATCTACACCGTGTACACTTTAATTTCATTTTATTCACGAAAATATTTCACCTGGAAAAATCCCTCCAAATGGAACATCTCATATGCACGGGTGTCCAGGATGACATTGATACGTACGTAGAAATGCTATACATCTCTGCTTGTCTGTTGCATGGGGTTCTGAAATCCATTATGCTGGATGCTGTGTACGTTGCTAGTGCTCTGGATTTTGCACAATGTTTTGGGTTCCATTATTATATAAACCCAATAAAAATGCTTCAAGCCCAGCAACCTTTCACAACCACTAAACATTGGGCCTAGCTTCATCATCTGCTTCACAGTGACGGTGGCCCAGATTAAACTGCACAGCTGTGATTCGCTAGCTATTCAATTGCAACAAAAATGTACATTGTGTATTTATACAGTCGACTGTCATTCCTTGTCAATCACATTTCTTTGATGAAAACTGCATTACATTTTAATTACATGCACGCATTGGTATCAATTACGTTGCAGTATGCCGGATAGTGCCTATACCCAGCATGCATCTCACCCCAGTGTGTCTAGCTGGCAGAGGTTTGACTCTGAAGTTGAAGACAAACGTAATAATCCTCAGTGGGTGATATCTAAACAACAGGTGGAGAGAAGGGCTTTCAATCAACATAACTCACCAGGTTAATGATTCACGTTGTACGGACAAATGTGTTCCTCTACACTGCAGAACTTTGCTAATAGGTGTGGGTATTGCAGGACACACAGCATTCAACATCTAATATATATTCAGGGCCTGGCCACACTTTATGGGGCTGGCCGCGTTTCGAGCCGAGCCATAAAGGATGTGTCCTTTACTGTTATTCGTGTTTTTCCCCCGTCAACAAAATGATAGTTAGTTTAACGCACGTCGTACTCAGATTGTAAATGTTGTGGCTTGGCTCTCCACCACACCGGTGTTGCTGTACTAGTGACGAATTGGCACGTTCTGTTTACGTGACAACCCTTACGAGTTGGCTGTGTCGGTGGGTGGCGGGTTTAACAACACATTTATATATTTACGCGATCTAACAAAAAAAAAAACCTCTATTAAAAATGATAGTCACGTAGCATTCCAGACTAATTATTATTATTATTGCTCGAGGGCAGTGGTTCTCAACGTTTGTTTGGCTGCTGTAACTCCCCTTGTTGAATCTTGTTACAACCGAGTAACCCACCCCGTCTTGCCTGACCCCCAACATGGTTCTGAGAAATAAATGTTATGAACAATGAACGTAAATATTTTAACCAATTGTCCATTTTGTGAGGTGTCCCTAACTCGCGAGTGACTGCAAGCGAATAATAAGCAATATTTAAAATAAATTTTTAAAAAAATACACGCTTTAATGATATTTACTAGTAATGGCAGAACTCCAAGACTCTAGGAAGTGGCCCCGAAGCTTGCCATAACGTAAGGGACCGTGGCCAATTACAGCCAACGTCAGTTGACCGTGGACAATTAGACCCAAGCCGAAACATTACATATAAAAAAGAATGTTAAAAAATATATATTATTTTTTTATGATAGAATATAGTATTGTCATCAGTATGACATAAGTATACGAAGTTTGCAGTCGATACCACATTGGGAAGTGGGTTAAAATTGAGTTACAAGATTTGAGAACACAACAACAACAACAGACAGAGCGAGTTCATAAAAAGCGTGTAAAAGAATAAAAAAAATCAACGCGGACGCTGCGCGCGTGACATCATTTGTTTGCGCTTTGCTGGGTCCTCTTGTAAACACGCATCGTTTACCATCAACGAGTTTAGAAAGGTCTTTCATATTGTTCTCGGTTACCATGTGGATTGATATTGTGTCTCAGCTATTTTACATCGCCAAATTCTCACGTGACCATTCACCAATGACTCTCGTGCACGGTGATGTAATGTCACACGTTTATACATCACCCTCACGTGGACTCCAGGGGTCAGAGGTCCACGTGCCCCCGGTTGAGAGCCACTGCTCTAGGCACACAACGGGGCAAATGCATCCCGATTCCAGGCGGTGTAACATGTGGAAGGCAAGCGGCTGACGCACACAGCGGTGTAGGAGACAAACGGACGCAGACATTCACCTCAAAGATCTCAAAGCCAGCGATGTCCAGCACGCCGATGAAGTATTGCCGCGGCTTGGTTGTGTCAAGGGTTTTGTTGACGCGAGCCACCAGCCACTTGAACATTCTGTCGTAGATGGCTTTGGCCAAGGCACCGATCGAGGACACGCACTTTTGAGACAAGTACAAAAAACACGGGGGGGGGGGGGGGGGGAATGGAAATACGGAGTCAACATCCAAAAGTAGCCGTCATTATTCCGGTCTGAGAAAGAAAAAACACGCGTGCACTTTCAGACGCTCTTCTGCGTTTTCTCCTGAAGGTAAACAGAGCCAGGATCTATAAATATATACTTGCTTTGTCAAAAAACCCCACGATACATTTGTACGGGCATCAATTCGAGTTACCAGCTGTGTGTTTTAAAGTGAGTGCACATTCACCATACCTCACGGGGTTCACGTGAAAAAGTTAATTACGACATAATTAGGGCTGTTCTGCAAGGGTATTGAATTAGATGATTTTGTAACATATGTCAGTGTGAATTTATACTCTTTGCTTTTTTCGGTAAAGTCACGGAGGTAAACATTTTAAATAAATTAAATAACGGTGTGCTTTCACTACGTTGTCCCCACCTGAAGAAGGACGCTTGCATTGCGCCCGAAACGTCGTGATTTAATTTATTAAATTTTTTTACCTACGTGACTTTACCGAAGAAACCAAAGAGTATGGATCCTTGCACTCATGAAAACTTCAAATCTAGAAAGTGTGATTTTAGTACAAAAAAAATGCAAAGCGAGTGAGGCAAGGCCCTGCTACTAATGCAGTATGTTCCATTCCCCGCCAGACGATGATACTCGATAACAGACGTGATTAATGATTGCAACACCCTTGCACAACTGAACATGAGAAGGGGCAGCGAGCTGTTATAAATATTTTTTTCTTATCGACAATAGCACATAGACAAAACGGTTATCTGGCACGGTGTAACCTTCATATCATACCTGATCCATGTTTTGGCTCTTCTGCACGTATTCATTTCCAACCTTGACTTTGGGCCGCGTGATGCCCTTTTGCAGCTCGCTTGAGTCAATCCCTGCCAGGCAAGCCACTCGGTCCGCCACTACACACCATCAAAGCAGAACGCCACACCAACGGGGCAAGAAACGTGTTTTATGAATGTGAGTGAGCGTTTTTCAAATTAAATGTCAATCATTGCTCGTGGCTTTCATCATCGAATGAGGAATGAAACTGTGCCGATCTCCTGTTTACAGCCCAGCCCAGTCATGGACATGTCCACATTCCTCTGGTAACCACGGTTAACTTCTAGTGAGATAACTCATTTTAGTTTCCCTTTAACAATACATACATTCAATTCGTTTAAAGGTACTGCATGCATTATTGTTTTACTTACGGATACATATACGTTATACATTTGTTGCATAACATTCGTGTTTTCCTTCTTTAATTTGTTTATACCGGAGGAGGCCAATTAGCTACAAAACAGATATCCAGTCGGGGCGGCTCAGCAAGTTATGACAACAAGCAATGCAACAAACGATCGGAGTGCAAAATAGAAAAAAAGGTTGGCAAGCCGCGAAAAACAAATACATCAAAATAAATGAAAGTATACAAGTAGAAATTGCATAAGTGCATACATTTATCATACTTAACAGAGCTTTATTTATTTAGTCAAGTTGAGAGGATGCGATAATCAGAAGTCCTGATGAGTTCTCTACCTCTGCTGATTTTAAGAATTGCCAAAGATGTGAATGCAGGAATCTCCTGACCTGGTGCCTTGAGACTCACTTTAGCTTTCTATAATAATTGGTGTTATAATGTTATCATTATGAATAAACACATTTCTTCAATGGGAATAACAATCAATGTAATTGGAAATAGTTTGTCATTCAGACATTTTAGGCAGTGTAGTTTTTCTCCCAATGCCTTTGTCATTTTGCATAAAAAAAAAACCTTTAAATCATAACAATGGCACGTGTAGCATGATGTGTAATTCAATATACTTATGAAACATGATACTTTTTCGTTTCAATTAAATATTTGAGTGGTTGACAAGAACCAAAAAAGCATTACCTGTGAAGTGAATAAAATACAACCCAATACTCACCGAAACAATGTTCACATTTCTACTTCTTAGAGCGGTTGGTGGTTCATGATACAATAGTAACTCACAATCTTGAACGATTCGTCTAAGAATGTGTGACAACGTTTAAGATTCGCATCGCAACAGTGACTAAGAACATCGCCTGGACTAACGGTTGTGAACAGACAATGGAATCTTAGCTTCTGCGGGGCGGGGAAGGGGGGGGGGCAAAACATTCATTGGAGGCAAGGAATTGGCCTTTGGGATGGATGGGCAAGGCACAGCTGACTGCTATTTAATCTGTCGTCGGAGAGATGCACCGTGGCTAGGATGCTGAATGGAATCATTTTCTCAGTACGACGACCTACTCGTGGTCAATGCTTCCTGCAAGACCTCCATCAAATAGTGACCACGTCGTGCCTTCGCTCAGTATGCAGCTTCAGAGTTTATATTGACATTCAGTTGTGTATTGTTTGAGAGAATGCCATGTGGAGGTCAGCGGCTGCATCACGGAGTTATTTTTTTTTTATTCCGAGGGCCAATTTAGGAAGCGACTTTGTACTATCTGTTTTTTTTAAAGGGGCAAATTTATCATGAAAATACACGAACAAAGTGGGATGCGAGATGCACTATCCCGTGGCTGCATACCACCTGCGATGCACATGAAATAGCCGGGAGATCATTAAAAACCATTGCATATGAAATGAAGTTTGCTGCGAGACTCACAGACAATACGTTCTCTGGCACGACGAAACGTCCAGTGCACAAAGCAAAAGGGCCACATAGCAAACCTTCTGTGCCATCGACCTCCGCCTGCTCCTCTCGGGGCTTCTGCCGAAACTTCATGTTGCCGAAGTGCATGATGCCGCCCGTCAATTTGTACAGACTCATCTTTTCTTCCGGAGTGAAGCCCAACACATCAAAGGCTTCCTGCCAAACAAGCAACAGGAAAGAAGACATCTCAAAAACAAAACAAACCATTTGCAAACGCACTTTTTTTTATCTTCTTCAGATCAATGAACGTAATAGCCAATGGCTGAGCCAGGATTTTCAGGTAAGGGGGGCAACCCCTCCAGCAATGAAAAATGATAGAGGAGTTGTTAGTAAGTAAGGACTTGTCTCTTCGACGCGTGTGCGGCGATGGCGCAGCCATCGATCGAGGGTCGAATTCGAACCGCGTTGTGTGATCGGCATCGCGCTCGCTGAAAGTGTTTGCCTACAGGGAAGTCGTGAACTGAATACGAAACTGCGCACAATTCTGTGTCACTTATAACCGCTTTGCCGTTACTTATTGCCAATTATGGACTCAGACTATTGTCCTATCATCTCATAGAGTCCATAGCACATAATATATGCTACAAAGTGGCAGTGGGGGTCGCAAAATGCCGATTTATTACTAATAAACCCCAATGATCCGATCGAAATTAGGGATTTCGATCTGATCATTGGGGGGGCATGTGCCACCCCTCCCAACTGGCTCTGCCAGTGATAATAGCCACCAATTTTTGTAATGAACATCGACGCTTATATTGTATATAACCATACATTATCAGTAGTGGAAAAAGTAAGATTAGACGTGTTAAGTAACAAGTTATGATGACCTCAGAATAATAACAGTAGTGTTTGTAAATATATATTTTTAAACAGAGATGACACATACTGTACGTGGATTTGTCTTTTTGGACAGCCATCATTGTTAGTCTACTATAACGATGATAATAAAAACAACAAAAAAAGAGTGTTGCACATTGCCACGTGTAAAAAAAACACGTGTGTATTTTCCTACTATATCATTGTTTATTTAATCCATTGATAATAATGATGAAAAAAATATTGTTTCACATTGCCACGTGTAAAAAAAACACGTGTGTATTTTCCTACTTTACCATTGTTTATTTAATCCATTGATAATAATGATGAAAAAAATATTTTTCACATTGCCACGTGTAAAAAAAAAACACGTGTGTATTTCCCTACTTTGCTGTTCGCCGTATTTTAAACACCTGTCAAGAAGAGTCACAAGTGCAGTGTTGTTTTTGGCTCGCTGCCTCGACAGTCTGTGGCAAGCGTCATATTGGCCACCTCCTAGAAGCCACTGCCGTCTGGTTTGTGACAAAACAAGCAAGCAAGACAATGCCCTCCCTTCACGTACACGTCCCTCGACGCTTCACATCAGCCACGTGGCTTTCTCGGTGTGCGTAAGTTCTGCAAAATTGGTTCAGACACAATCAAACTATGGAGCGATTTCAACTGTGTCTCATCAGCAAAGTCAGTCTTGTTTCAACCAATCCTAGTGAACGGACAAATGTTACTAAGTAAGGACCCTCTCCGTTATATATGGGTCTTCGTTTGATGGACCGATATGTGAAGGAAGCTTATTGTCCGCTTATTTATTTTGCTACTTATGTTCTCGACAGTGACCTAATGCTTATCTTCAGACTTGATTTAACGTTCCCAAAGAGACTATCCGTAGTGTCCACATATCATGTTTATACCCAACGCATACAGTGACTTTATTATGTTTATCTAACCAGGTAAGGCCCACTGAGCTCTGCAGCTCTTTATAAGAAGTGGCCTCGCTATCGAAAATGAGAGCTCAACGAAGTGACGAGTCATCACGTGGACGTTTATAGCAGGCAAATACTCCAAAACAAGGTTTTTAGTTACGACCTGAAAATTATGGCCTTGCACCATTATTTTTTGTTGTTGTGGTAACATTATATAATAATTCGAATAATTACAGGCCATGGTCAATCCACTGCTGGACGAAGGCCTGCCCACACCTCATCAGTCACGTGTGGTTTATTTGCCCACACTTTTCCATGCTGGTGAGTGCGTGTTGGTGGCATGAGTGAGGCCAGCCTGGTTCAGGCATCACTCATGGTTGATGTAAGCCACGGCGAGGAACTACACAAATGAAGTGCATAGCCAATCTTCTTGGTTCTATCGGTAAAGTCACGTAGAAGGAAAATAATAAAATAATAAAAATAAAACATAATAAAATAATTCTCACGACGTTTCGGCCACAACGCAAGCAGCCAATTCAGACTCTGTCTACTTGACAGACCTGTTCTCCACCTGAAGACGGCTGCTTGCGTTGTGGCTGAAACGTCGTGAGAATTATTTTATTATGTTTTATTTTTATTATTTTATTATTTTCCTTCTACGTGACTTTACCGAAAGAACCAAGAAGATGAATCCCCGCAGTCGCGAAAGCTTTAAATCGAAATTTAATGCATAGCCAATGTTAACGCAATTGTGTTTTGTTCAGCCATAGGTGACCAGGCTCAAACCATCACCTACCAGCATGTATTGTTTAGTTATCAACTTGTGAACCAGCTGGACCAAAATTTGTCTTGAACATTAAACCATCACCTTGATGATACCACAGAACTCAATCCACAATAATTATAATGCTCACCACGTTTCTAATACCCACAATGCAGCACTTGGAATAGAGATTGGCCCGCTATTGCGTGTGCCACCAACATTTAGGGAGCAGATCATTCATCGGCCCCAAATGGCAGACTCAAGTGCCATTTGCAGTCAGACTAAAGCCCATTCACATGCCAGTGCTGTAAATAACTCGTGAGGCATAGGGAGAGCTGCCCCTGGGGATCCCCTTGGTTCAACTGCAGCAGGGCATTGAAATGGTTGAGATGGGATGATGTGAGTCGTTTTGAGTTGCTAAGGCTATAGAAGCACTCTATAAACGAAAATCCGTATCCTTGTACAGAAACCTGACATTTTACCGTCGAGTATTTAACAGAGCCTACCGCCGGTTGCTTTCGCGCGAACACGTTTTTGAAACCCACGGCGCTGCGGCGACACGCATCTGCCACTCATTTTTTTTGCCGCATCGACACGAAAAAAACCCACCACCCCGCGTGAACGTTTTGAACAGTGAGCGCAGGCTGACAAAAAGGCCGCGCCGTTGCTTAGAAATCGACGTACGTCGGTAAGCATCATTTCTTCGGCGTCGTCCATGTTTTCAACAGAGGTGACGCCCTGGGAGATGGAGGCATACTCCTTCGGGTTATTGACCAGACCGACTTCCTCTGAATGGATAAAAACGAGACAAAAGAGTAGAGACGTGAGCGCAACTGCATGTTCTAACAAGAAAAGTTGGACTAAAAACAAAAAAATGTCGGTGATTGTTTTCAGTTGTATGTGTAAGAAAAAAAGCTCTGACAATTAACGCATGCGTTGGTTTACCTCATGAAAACCGTGGCACCATTAACGCACAAACGACGTGATTTAAATTACATCTACCGCTTGTTAAGGTCAAAGATTTTAGCCGTTTCAGAAACGTCTTGGAAGCCTCACCCAGGAGGTTGGGTACTTTCCCCGAGAGGAGTTGATAGAAGATGTGATAGCCTCGTTCTGCAGGCTGCTGGGAGATTACCCGAGACTTTTCCAGCAGATCTGGGGAAAAAATGCAGACCGTCCCAGAATGAGCAGTGATCATAAAAAAATAATATTAGCGTATATAAATTTAGCAAACATGTCACTTGTATAATGAAGAAGTAAATATGCGTTAAAAGGCAGCTGCACTTACATGTTTCAATATCCGCTCCGGAAAGTTTTCCAGACACGGCGAAATGGATTCTTATGAATTTTCCCTATTAAGGCAAAAAAAGCATGAATCTACATTGAAGCATGCGTGCATTAAAACATACACAGATCACATTTAGTGGAGACAAAGTGAATGAATTATGACTCTTTTTACATCGTTTTTTCATGTCATGTGTGCGTCTCAGGACACTGGCTTCGTAGCAATCGTGCTCGAACTGCTGCGCCACCACCCAGAGACGCAAAAACTGTTATTTTCCCCTCGAGTAAAACCGTATCGAAAAGCCGAACCAATATAAGACTTACAAATCGGGATGAGTTGTTGTTTCTTGTGGTCTTGGCGTTGCCAAAGGCCTCCAGCACAGGGTTGGCCTGGATGATTTGATCCTCCAGGGAGCCCTATGCATGAAAGGAAAAGTACGTTAAGTTTTGCCTGCTGCAGGCAAAAAAGCAGAACAGTCTGCAAGGTTACCCTTTGTTACGTTGAGTGACTTGAAATATACTGTGAGATTGCCGCTGTTGTAAAGCACAGGTATGCTTTCTGCTTTTTCATAACAGAGACCAAAAATATAAATGGGAAGCTAAATAATAATTGTAAAGTCTCATTATAACCATAGCGCAGCAAACGCTGTCATACACATCGACCACAAACTTGGACGAGTGGCTCACGATCCAATTTCTTCTTCTTTCAATCGCTATGCCCATGATGCACAAACCCCCGGATTCAAACGCTCGGCTCCACCAGACACAAATACACACATTCCCAATTGCAAAGCATTGAAACACAATTGATTATTCTTTTTTGTGACCAACCCCATCCTCATTTAATATACAGAGGAACTTATCAGTTCGGGGGTGGGAAGGGCGCATTGTTTCACGACACAATCTCGATGTGTAAAGTGTCTGAATTGAATTGTTTTTCCTGTTGTGCAATCGGAGATGACTGATCGGGCTCTGGGTCGTGAGCGGTGATCATGTGAGAGGGGACACGGGGGGATTGCAAATCTGTGAAGCATGGCGGAGGGAATCGGCCAATGTGGGGGTCTTAACGTGGTTATGAAAGGTAAATCAGAATCAGAATATGTATTTATCCTGGAGAAATCCAATGAACTATAAAGCTCCTATTTCACAGATGTTCAGTAGGAGCGGGTCAAAAAGTTACAACAACAAACAATACACAAAAACAAACACGATGGGAGTGCAAAGTATAGGAAAGATAAACAGACGACAAAAAATAGATGCATTTAAAAAAATACAGAGTATATGAGCAATGCAATTGTTTGCAAATGTGCTGGAGCTCTCGAGGGGTCTCTACATGGTAATTTGGCCTACTCTTCCACGCTGGCCAGACGTCTTGGAAGAGTACCCACGCTCTACCCCAGCACAAGTGGCACACGCTGTTTACCAGTCACGTACTGCTGGGTGGACAGAGGTGGGTTGGGGGGATTTAAGAAACTTAATATCACAACAGGGTTGTCCAGCAGCGGGAGACATGTAATTTGGGACTGTTCTGGAAGGAGAATAAAACAAGCCTTAATGAATTATTAAATATTAAACATGATGCCTAGAGGTTGAAGCTGTATGTGGTAATAATAATAATGATAAGCACCATCTAAAAAAACAAACTTGAAAATAACTTTAATTACCAACGGACATAACAGTTCGATACCACCGTTCCCACAATGCACTATTTGAGCGCAGCAGCAGCGGATAGACTTTTCTCTCCGCAGATAAGCTGCCTAGGGCTCCACGCATGCAGCACGATGGCCACACGTACGTGTAAAGTGTCGTCTAACAGCACCGTCACCTTGCTCTGGTCGATCTGTTTGTTGCCTCCTCCAATGTTGGCAAAGTACTGGATGACCTTTTTAGTGTTCTCAGTCTTGCCGGCACCGGATTCCCCGCTGATGCCATGGGACATGGGAAGGAAAATAACAAAATATACAATAAAAAAATGCATGCGACCACCACTGTAATCATCATCATCATCACCAGGCTATCGTCAGGCGGTATAGCACGTGGCAGCCCCAACGTTCGAAATCTGAAACGGTGACAGCAAGAGTGCCTTCTGCATAAAGCGGCAGTGTAAGTCAAACATTTATTTTTCCACGTATTTATTACGTATCCCACTGGGTGCGACGTTCATTGTATTTTATATATTGTAAATGCGTGTATGCGTGTCATTATGTGTTTGCTATGTATGTGTCAAGAGACACCCAAATAAAATATTTTAATAAATACGTTAAAAAATTTAAGCCCATTGCGGCCCCTAAGTAGCAAAACTCTCTTGTTGTGTGCCCCCCTTTCAAATCAAACAATCCGAGTGAGATGACAGAAGAGATATTGACAAGAGCGACGAGAGGTACATGTGTAGTGAGATAAGATACATCTAGACAAAGTAGAGGATGTAGTGTGAGGTAAAAGAAGATATACAAACAAGATATACATTATAAAAATTAATTTATTTTAATGTGTGATAGTAATTAAATTTGAGCTGATATTTCATGCACCTCAAGGTTTTCATGAATATGGAGCCTCTTGAGCTTCTTATTGCCTCACTAGCTTTTCCTTTAATAAAATAATAATTCGTATTATAACGTTTAAGCCTTTCTCAATCCACTGCTGGATGAGGGCCTCCCAACTTCGCCATGCTGTTCAGTGCAGGTTGGTGCAGTGGGGCTGTTAGAATAGTTCAGATGTGGTTGGCCAGCGACGCTACATTTGGCCGTGAATCAAACCCTCATATAATAAATCATGTACAGCATAAATAATTACTCACGTAATCAGCATAGACTGGTTGGCTTTATCTGCAGGTAAAAAAAACATGAGATCATTACAAAAAAATGCACGCAACAATAATATGGCGATGCTCTATCGAGTGTGCATACCCATGCATGTTGATTCACAAGTTTGCATCATTAGCCATGATGGATGAAGTCCTTTCCGAGCCACCGCCACCTGTCAAGATTCCAGCGACATAACTATACATCCAGTACCTGCGCACAAAACCCATCTCATCACTCCATCTCTTTGGTGGACGTCCAGCCCCCCCTGGACGCATTCCCATCCCTCTGCCGCCGCTCCGTTATTTTATTCTTGACCCCTTCTGTCCAAGGCCCAACCGCTCACCTTTCTCCATCTGCGGACAATCTCCAGTGTGTCGGTGCTCCTGTCTTCCCGGCACATCGCCGCGATTCCGAGCGCACGAGCGAGGCAAAATCGTAACGCAAATCGCACGGCGCGCAGCGGGAGTGAGGAGGTGGGCTTTGCTCCGCGGAGCCGCTTACTTATCAGCATGTCGCTGTAGGCATTGTCGGAGATGGAGAAGAGGTGAGGTGGCACCTCGTTGCGCTTCTTGCCACGGTACATCTTGGCAACTCTGCTCCCGTATATGGGCAGCCACTTGTACGGGTTGATGGTGACGCAGAAGAGCCCAGAGTAGGTCTGCACACAGCAGAATGTTCTTAGGTTTTTTCGGTAAAGTCACGTAGGTACATTTTTTAACATTAATGAAAGTAAAATAAAAAATAAAATAAAAATCACGACGTTTCGGAGGCAACACAAGCTTCCGTCTTCAGGTGGAACCGTCACAGCACGAGACAGCTATTTAAAATTGTACTTTTATTAATTTATTTATTTTTTACCTACGTGACTTTACCGAAAAAACCTAAGAATATGAATCCTTGCAGTCACGAAAGCTTCAAATCTACACAGCAGAATGTTTACGATCAGAGTCTTTACGTCGACTTTGGAGGATATCCGATGAGCTGCACGGCTCTTTCGCACCGTTATCTCGCGGGGGAATGTTGCCGGACACCCGGTCTCTTTATAAAAAATGTTCTATTAATTTGAAGAATTGCTGTTAACATCGATCAATGTGGTTTTTTGTTGTATAGTGCACTTCACATCAATAAAGGCATCTCTGAGCACTTGATGTAAAAATACATTCTTGACGGTCAAATAGTCAGCATCAGTTTTGTACAATTCGTGGTGTTTTATAAAAATAAAGGCATTTAACATGTTCACATCCTACCATATTTATCATATTCTTAAAAGAGAAGTCACTAAATCATAACAATGTCCTGCATCAAATGAACAAATACACAATTGAAGTATGGTGGGTGACATTTACTGTACAGTATGTTAGTAACAACGGTGATTTTACATTTTCTCTGTTCATAGTTCACAATTATAATTGGCCTGATGGACCCTGAATTTTTCATCACAAAGTATGTTACAACATTCTCTGTCATTGTTAACATGATGATGTATTCATCTTTACATGTGCTTCTGAATGCCTTTAAATAGCAAACATTTTTTTATTATTATTATACATATCATTGTGATATGCGGGTCTGCCAAACATACTTTATTTACAATGTGCCAGATTGAACTCAGGTTGACAACGACTCATCGCCCAAATCCACTAACTACTAACTGCTGCGATAACAAAACAACAAACGGCATAGCAATCTATGCAGTGCTGTGTATATCCGTGATTGAATGAAACGTCTATCTGACTTGTCGAGTATAAACAAACCCAAACCCTCCCCATCCTCCATACAAAGTAAAGCGCACACACAATTCACAAAAATATCATACGCACGTAGATGCGCATTTTGACGTATCTCTCCTTGAGGTTGTTGAGAACGCTGGCTTCGTTGAGGAAGGTGAGGTTGGCCATGTCTTCTATCTGCTCAAACTTGGGAGGGTTCATCTCCTGCACGATGTCCTTCTTCACCTTGGCGATCTGCGCACAAGAACAAGCGACGTTCTGCAATAAGCCACAAACGTAAGCTACCTGGTGACTATGAATGAGGTCCTGTGGTAGCAAGCTTTAGTGATAGCAAGCTTGACAGTAAAAACAAGCTTTATTGTAAAAATGTAAAGGTGCAGGCCCTGCGATTGTTCGCCCACACTGCTGCTGACTGACGGGATCTAGGCTACTTTGGCCTTCTCTTCTACGCTGGCCAGACGTCTTTGGAAGAGGTGGGAATACCGTACACATTTCTGCTGCTGGGTGGATAGAGACCGGTGGATTAGAACAAACATTAGCCAAATGTTTCCCGCCGTTGAGCCAAAAGATTGAAGCTCCGCAACTTTTGGAATCGCAAGCCCGGTGCGATAACCGTCGCATCGTGGCATCTTCCCTCGTTTTGCTTTTCTTTTATGCAAGGCCGTAGCCATGGAGTCAGCATTGGGGGGGACCAAATCTTCCAGGGTGTCTGGGGGTCCCAACCCAGAAAAATATTTAAATTTGAAAACTAATTTCCTGCCTAAAATATTAAAAAATTCACTAACACATGGGATGGACTTCTTTTTTTTTTAACCAAAATGTCGAATAGTGTATTGTGTTACATTACTCTGTTTTACTTTTTTTTTTACCATTTCTTGTTTCATTGTATGTAATGGCAGAGATTAGGAATTTATAAAGTACAACCATAACCACAATCATATAAACAGAAATCTATTTTATAGCAATATATTGGGGGGAACATTTTGAGCATATTTTAATATTGGGGGGATGTTTCCCCCCAATATACATTATAATTGCGGCCTTGTTTTTATGTCCCCAGACATCCCTAACATTTTGTCGTCGAGCAGCCGACGTGTTGTGTTTTGTTGTTTTTACAACACGCGACCGAATCACAAACCTCATTATTGACGGTAAACTTGACGGACACGGTGTTGTCTCCGTGATCATCCTGGATCAGCGCCTGCATGAAGCCCTCCTTCTCATCTTTGACCCAACAGTTTTTCTTGATGTCAAAGGGACGGGCTTGGAACTCCAGCTTCTCCGAATCCGTGGGCTTCAGGAATGGCATGGGGTCCTCATCGTCGCCACACTCACCTTTGTACGGCATGGTGACGTCTGGATCAGAGAAGTTGACTCAGCCTTATACTGCAAACAGAGAAGAATTGAAACAATGATGACAGGACGTACCTCGACGAGGACAGACGCGGCTCAAGTCAAATGTCATTCCTGGCGATCAACTCTTGCTTCATTTCGTAAACGTGTCCGTTCTGGGTTCCGTGAGCCAATGGTTATTGATTACGTATTGGTGAATTTACATTGGTTATATTGGATTCACCTGGAATTTTAAAAAAAGATGTCACATTTTGTCGGCTGAAACCAGTTTTAAAGGAACCTTACAAAAAGTAAATGTATTGTCAGGTGTGTTTTTTAAAGTCACACAGCATGTGTTCATGTTGTTGTTACGCTTCACCGAATTAACTTGTTTGAGTTGTAAACAAGAGATGGGGAATTTTCAAATCAACTTCTGCTAATTCTGTCAAAATAGGCAGAGCGTTGTGTTTCCAGGCACACCAAACAATAAACCGACCTGGAAAAAGTCAGCCCCCGAATATCGCGTCGAGTCACGCACGAGCTCAAATATATAGCGGAGTGGCCCCCAACGTGGGCTGGGGAAATTGTCAAAAAATAAACCCAGAAGATTCCACCGTGCGCTGTCGAGGACGTCCTCGGGATATCGTGTTGGAACTTTGTATTTTGGCTTCAACTGATCCCACTCTGGAGGATCAGTGGACGCAAAGAGCTTTAAGCCCTGGTGTCCCTCCAAGGGCACAGTGCATTACTTTCAATTAGACTTTGCAAATAGAAGAACATGACTATAAATATCCAACCACTGTCACACAAAATAATGAGATCTAGCAGATGAATCATTGCATTGTTCAAACCACAACTGATGGTATGTATATTAAAATAATCATTAGTGTATGCGTATCTTTATTATGCGCACGATCATTGTGTATCGATCACAATCGTACTTTTCTGCCTCATGTTACAGAACATTGAACAAAGCAAATTTTTCATAAGTTAATTGAAAATAGGAAAAAATTACCTGTATTTCCTTTGATGTCAGATTGCATGCTGTGCACAATGCACATGCAAATTGACATTCATAGGTTTCTTGGTTCTTTCGGTAAAGTCACGTAGAAGGGAAATAATAAAATAAAAATAAAACATAATAAAATACAAAGACAACGTCTGAATTCAGACGCTGTCTTTCCGACAGCCCTGTTCTTCACCTGAGGACGGCTGCTTGCGTTGTGGCCGAAACGTCGTGAGAATTGTATTTTATTATGTTTTATTTTATTATTTTATTATTCCCTTCTACGTGACTTTACCGAGAGAACCAAGAAGATGAATCCCTGCAGTCACGAAATCTTTAAATCGAAAAAATGCATATGTTTGTGACAGTACGCGACATACAAAACAAAAATCAGAAGGGGTAGGCAGCAATTTATTACGACAACATTTTTTAAAAGTTAAAGAGGGAACATTCTGTTATAATCAAGAAAATGTTGACGGTATTGAGTTAGATAAGATGTAAAAGCTGTGTCATTCGGTCAATACATGAAATTGATGATCGAGATGGGCAAAATGTTATATTGAAGTGTCAAACTAAATATTGATAAGAGCAACTTTACAAAAAAAAAGTAATATGCTATGTTCTTGTGTTTCTCAGTTTTATGAAAATCAATAGGCAAGTTGTTTTATCTGCAGCGTACGTTTCTCAGTCTTAATCTCTCCATCTTCATAAACCATGTACTCGTGGCTCTCTCATATAAAGGGTTGTATTTTTCGATGTAAACGCTTACCACCAAACTGGCAATCCAGTAACAACTCGTCACAGCATCATAGTGCTTTAGTTTGCAACAACAATTCCCACAGAGCACGCGGCAAGAGAACAGATTACCGCATAACGACTTTGTAAAAAAAAAACATCTAAGCTGCAACCATAAAATTACTTAATCATTCCACAGTTGACGGAAGGCCCTCCATAAGAGCGAGAGAGAGACCCTCTGTAGTAAGACAATATTCTGGCCTACTCTTTCACACTGGAAAGATGTCTTGATAGAGGTGGCACTCTACCACACCAACAACAAAGATCCCCCGCACAGCATTAACAGGCTGTAGGAGCAAGTGCTGTTAGCGAGCACCTATGAAGGCCAGCACGGCACACTAGGGGGTGGGTGACCAGTACCACGCCCGACCTCCTTTGTCTCCCCAGTCGCGATGTTTACACACCGCACCAGGTACTCATTTAAGGCTGAGTCGACCTAGAGGGAGGATGCCCAGGACCGGTTCAGATAATCGTCACCGGTGTTGGCCGTGAGTGGGAACCGAACTCGGGTGGCACCACCGCTCTACCCCACCACGTCACACGCGACCCACTACTGATCGACTCACCGTGGTCGACGCATACTTGGTGGACTAGAGGCGTGGGTGATTTGGGAAACGTGGATCAGGAGCTAGAACCGCCAACCTCTAAACTGTGCAAGTCCGCACTTTGCTCAAGCATGAACGCCACGGCAGAGTGAGTTTCACTCATGCAAGTTCAGCCTGATTATGATGCAAACATTGCTGCACAGTTACCTGAAGTTTAATGTAGCCTGCTTGTATGCATTAATTATACAGGCAACGTTTAAAATATTCAAACAGTTAACCCTCTTCCTTCCCTTCTATCAATTCCACATTCCCCTTAGCTTCTTAATTTAGCCTTCTGTCAACAGGAATGTTAATACGTTCATTACGAGCCTAATGACGCTGCTAATGTTCCACAGCCCTTTGATTTTTAACTTCCTATTTTAACTTGTAATATAAACCATTGAGCACAGCTGCCGTGTAACACTGGCAGTTATTGCGACACGGGGAGTTGGCTGTCCTTGATGGATCCATTAGGGAGACAGGGCTACCATCCCCTTGATACCAGAGGTATTTGCTTGGTAAAGGGAAGGCCAAACATGGGGCATTGTATACATTGCGGCACTCTCCCCAACAGCACTTGCTCACAGAATGCTTCCGCTCTGGGAATATTCGTAACACGTTTTAAATGTACTGACAATGCATGACCTTACGATGTATTCGTTGCTGACCGAAGAATGCACCGTGCGGTCGCACTCGTTACACACAGAGCGCTCGCCACAAATGAAGCACAACACCTGCGCTGATCTCGTCAGGGAGAATGAACGCTCATCACGTGGTCATCCTCGTAGCAGCAGCGGCTGATTGTGGCTGGCCGTCGAACAAAGACGGCGGCGGTCACCCGCATCGCGAGCGCTTTCAGATGCGCTTCTGCGGCCGTCTGGAACGCTCTTGGTTCCTTTCCGATATTAGGATGCCAATGGAGCTGTGCACATTTAAATCTCGATTGAAAACTCATTTCTCGAGAACTGCTTTTTGTGTTTAGTTTGTTGTCCTTCCCCCGCACCTCTGATCAGCGCGGTTGGCTACGTACGGTGCGAAAGTAGTTTAACACAGATACATAGATGAATCTTCCAAAAATGACAACATTCATCTTCAAGATCATTGTTTAGAGAACAATGCCTGCTAGATTGTGAGTTTTTTCGTACAATGTATTTTTTTTTCTTGTGAGGTCAATACGTGACTATGATTCTGAATTTTAATATTCCAGATCAGTATTTAAGGAACAATGCTCACTGGATATTAACATATGGAAATGCATTGTATAAAAGTAAAGGTGCAGCATTGCAATTACTTGGTCACACCACTGCTGGTAAAAGAGCATAGCAGGGACAGACGTTGGAATACCCTCACTTTACCCCACAACACACAGCCTGCTGATCAACTCAATTTGTTGATACACACAGTATATTTTGTTATGTTCGTGTAGTCAATATACGATCGCTGTCATTTTGAACGCGTTGACCTCAAAGCTCAAATGTAAAATTTAGCAGCTTTTTTAAAATATGCTGGTGGGCATCCCTGGCCAAACTGATGCATTAAACAGTAACCTTAGTCTGGCTATGGCTTCACGGCAATGTCTAGCATTTGGCAAATTGCTTTTTATCCTGTTTAAGTAAATCAACCTCAGAGTGTTCTTGTTAAGGGCTCCTCATCCAACACTGAACCTGTTACCATCGCTGTTCCCCAGGGAGCTCTTATTGAGCTCCTGCCTTTCGTCTCTACATCAATGACCTACATTCTATTACACCACGGGCACGAGCCTTGTACACCACGTGCTGATAACGTTCCCCTCTACAAACCCTATCTCCTCCATTGCCATCTCACATCTCTTCAAATGTCCATTCGTACGAGCCGTGACGATGTCCAAAAGCCACCATAAAAATGCAACAACACTGACCCCCCACCCGTCCCCTCGTGGACGATTCTTCAGAAGGTGTTCACGCTCGCATTGATATACACACATCGATTTCCTTAGGCTGATTGGATTGTTTTATCACCTTCTAAATTCTGTAATGTTCCTGGTGAAACTAATCTTTTATTACGACTTCTTTGTCCGACATCATCATGAGTTGTACAATTTTTAGAAACTCAAACCACTACAATGGAAATGAATGTAAATAAAAAAAGCCTAACAACCGGAATGAACCCTTAACGTAGTCATATCTCCCTCTCACACCATTCCAACCTCATGCCAGATTTTTCTACAGACGCCGTCTGGCCAGGGGGTGGGGGTGGGGGGAGGGGTTTGTTTTTACCAAGTTTAACCATACTTCTCCACGCTGGTTACCGATTAGGCGTCCATACCTGTCAACCCTTATCAGTGCCCTACCTTATTACAGACAAATTCAGACCTTATTGGTCACCCCCCGTGCCCCATAGAAATCTCAACCTTCATCCTATACACTACACTACACACTACTACAGACTACACACTACTACACACTACACTATATACTACAGTATACACTACACAGCTGTCAACCCCCTTATCAGTGCCCCCTACTTATTACAGACAAATTTAGACCTTATTGGTCACCCCGTGCCTCTTATAAATCTCAACGTTCATCCTACAAAGCCTCATCACGTGCAGGGCCAGATTAACATTTTGTAGGCCCCTGGGCTACAAGTACTGTGATGCCCCCAATAATATTTTCAAAAGGAAAACAAATTTAAAGAAAAATAAAATTTATTTTACAAGGCTAACAACAAATAAACGTCAGCATTCACAAATAAATAACTTTTCACTTCATCTCTGAGGCCTCTCCAGCTGGCAGAGGCACCTGGGCTGCAGCCCCTAAAGCCCCCTGCCTTTGTAATTAAGCTCGTTGAGACGACTTCTGGAATCCGTCTTTTATTCAACTTATGTTACAGTTACTTCACACTGCTGACAGGCAGCGTGAGAGGGACAGATAGACAGAGAGAGACGCATTGCCACGTGGCAACTCGGAGCCCCGCTCCCGCGTGGCCCCCTTCCTCTGTTCGTTCCCGTTCTGACCACGTGTCGTTCGTCTCTACCCCTATTTAATACCCGGGTCACGTGGTACGTTTCCGCCAATCCTCGTTAGCCTGCATCGAATCTTCCAGGCTCCCTCGTCAGCTCCGGGACCACGCCCCTGACTCATCTCCCCATTGGCTGTGGCCAAAGCCAGCAGAACCAATCCTTATAGCTGTCACCTTTCCATCACGTCAGGGCCATGCCCCCAGGCTTCCCCCCATTGGCTGTAAACAAGGACCAGCAGAGCCAATCACCATGACGAGTTGTGATACGTCAGTGAGCCGGCTATATCCTCATATTACACCTTAATCCGGCCCTGATCACAAGGGAGAAACACAAACAGATAGACAATAAAAGGGTTTTGCCCGTATTGAAACGGCTGTACGCCGTATGGACTTGCAAACTCGATTTCCATGAACAAGAATACGGGGTAACCCGTGTGGGTTGACACGGTGTGGGCTTCGCGTGGCAGCCGACAGACCCTGAACATTGAATGAAAGGTCCAGCGACGTGCAGAGTCGCGCGACACTCCTCAAACAGCGGGGCGGAGATTGCGGTTCACTGGATCATCCGTGTGCCCGGTGTGGAACCGATAGGTGGCATGAGGTGAATGCCAATCCATCACCACCCTTCTGCGAGCGTGGGTTTGGTGAGCGTGAGTGTGGTGTGTGTGGGTTTGGTGAGCGTGCGTGTGTGTGGGGGTGGTGAGTGTGGGTGTGGTGTGGGGGTGGTGAGTGTGGGTGTGGTGAGTGTGGGTGTGGCGAGGGTGTGGTGTGGGTGTGGTGATTGTGGGTGTATGAGTGTGGGGTGGTGAGTGTGGGTTTGGTGAGTGTGGGTGTGGTGAGGTGGGTTTGGTGAGTGTGGGTTTGGTGAGTGTGGTGTGTGGTGTGGTGAGTGTGGGTGTGGTGAGTGTGGGTTTGGTGAGTGTGGGTTTGGTGAGCGTGGGTTTGGTGAGCGTGGGTTGGTGAGTGTGGGTGTGGTGAGTGTGGGTTTGGTGAGTGTGGGTGTGTGGGGTGGGTTGTGAGTGGTGTGTGGTGTGGGTGGGTGTGGGGTGGGTTGGTGAGTGTGGGTTTGGTGAGGTGGGTGTGGGGTGGTGAGTGTGTGTGTGGTGTGTGGTTGGTGTGGGTTTGGTGAGTGTGGTTTGGTGTGTGGTGTGGTGGTGGTGAGGGTGGGTTTGGTGAGTGTGGTGTGGTGTGAGGGTGTGGTGAGTGTGGGTGTGGTGTGGGTTTGGTGAGGGTGGGTTTGGTGAGTGTGGGTGTGGTGTGTGGGTTTGGTGAGGTTGGGTTCTTGAACAAGGGACAGATGGGGGAGGGGCAGCTTGGGTTCAGTCACCATTTGCCACTGATGTTGGCCGTGACCAGGAATTCAGCTCAGGTCACTGGTTTCGCGGTATTATGCACTCACCACATTGCTGCCACTCTACACTGCACCCTATCTAGGTAATAAATATTCGTTAGAGTGGTCACTATTTCCTGACAGTGAATACAGTGCATTGCAGCATTAAACACGATGAGAGACATATTACGTGGAAAACACATTTTAAAATGACAGCTATATATATGATCCACTTAAATATGTCGTCACTTTCAGAGTCCAAATCTCTACCAAATCTCATCATTGAGCAAAAAGGACGAGGAAAAAAAACATGAATATTTTAAAGAAACCTCGCATTTATTTACACGGGGTGACACAGATGTGCCCAGTGTCAAGATTACTTTTCGTAGGTGCTTTTTGAAAAACATTTAGTAAATTGGTTTCACCGTTGGAAACAGTTTAAACATCCTTCATTAAAACATAAAATACGACTTTGAATTCAGAAACAAGTGTTCCAGGTCGCCGACATCATCACGATCATCATCGTCGCTCGCAACTTATGTATATCGCACCTCCCATGCAGTGCACGTCAGGCATCCTTTGGCAGTCTTCGCCTAGGGGACCTTCTGTGGCAGTTGTCGCTATGCAGCACCCTGTGAAAGCAGCACTGGCCTGCTGGGTGTGTAGCGTTGCGTCTACAATCGATTAAATATTTTTTACAAAAAAAACCCCACATCATTAATAAGCTTACGACACACGTATCGAACAGCGTGTGTAGGGAATCAATACGTTTTGATTTCAATATCATCGCTAAGTTGGCGTATCGAAAAATCCTCACCAAAGTCTCAGCACTTCTTCAGGCCGCTTCTTCGCTGGGAACGATTGGCAGAGTCTACTGAAGATTGTCTGGCACGTGGTAAGAGGGTACTGCACTCCGAGAGAAGGCCCACGCATGCAACGAATTCACACTCGAAAGCGCCGCACAGATTGATTCCATCCATCTGCTCTGCTGCCATCTCCTGGGCAAACGGGGTTTTGGAGTTTCACGACCGTGAGTGATCCACTAAGCCCTTGCCCCAACAGTGGGGGATATTACATCCCCCGTTAGTCACTGTGGCTTGAACCACATACTGAGCAACGTCAGTCGGTGCGGGGTTAAGGGGTGCGTGCAGTGGAGAGGGGGTAGTGGACCCAGGACCAGTGCAGGAAGCACTCACAACCACCACCACCTCTTCCTCTTCTTCGTACGGCTGATGCTGATGTAGAGCCGCGACTGGAATTTCACGTGGAGGCAGTCGAGTCCGATAATTGCGCCAGGAGTCGCGGAGTGCGTGGCTGTCACGTGTGCTCTCTCCAAGCGGAGCTCTCTTACTCTCTTGCCCATTCCCTCCCTTCCTCCCCTCGCCCCTCCACTCCTTTCCATCCCTCCCTGGCCATGAACCCCCCACGTGTCCTCCGTTACGGTCAACTTAATCCTCGGCCCTTGCACGCTCACGCCATCTCAAGTCACACTGTTTTTGTTACCGCTTTGAAAACGATGCAAAGCACCTCGCGCTAAGGCGCTCTTGTAAGATAAGATGCCTCCCTTCATATTTGTGAATCGGGCAGAGTAGCCATACATTAAATATTACGTTCTGAGTCGCACACGGGAGATTTATAAATGTTTAATTCGTGCTTCGAGCATCCGCATCTGGCTCACCAGACATTGCCCGTGGCTAGGAATCTAACTCGGGATGTGGGGGTTCCAACTGCACACACTCCTACGCCATCCACCCCCCCCTAATTTATTATTTCACACGAAAGACAATTTTGACGCTTCTGGGTTGAGTATCTCATTAGTATTGACCTTAAATCTTGACTTAAAGCTTTCGTGACTGCAGGAATTCATATTATTTGGGTCTTTCGGTAAAGTCACGTAGATAGAATTTTTATTAATTTTGATGTTTTACCCCACGTGACTTTACCGAAAAAACCTAAAAATATGAATCCTTGCAGTCACGAAAGCTTCAAATCTAGAATCACGTAGATAGGTTCAAATTATATGTTTTATTTTATTTATTTTATTTGAACCTATCTACGTGACTTTACCGAAAGATCCCAAGAATAATATTGCCCTTATAAATGCAAACCAGTTGCAATTATTCGGAGGAATTGAGAAGTGAAGTAAAAAAAG